CAAGCCAGTAAGCAGCTCCCCTCCATGGCCATTGCATCAGCTTCTGCCTCTGGGATGCTGCCCTATTCCTGTCCTGACTTCCTTCAGTGATGAACAGCAATGCTGAAGTGTAAGCCAATAAATCCTTTCCTCCCCAACTTGCTTTTTGTCATGGTGCTTTGTTGCAGCAACAGAAACTCTAACTATGACATCTATTTATTTTATTATTTATTTATTTATTTAGTTTTGATAACGGGCCTCACTGTGTAGCTTTGACTAGCCTAGAACTCACTATGTAGACCAAGCTAGCCACAAACTCACAGACATCTGCCTGTTTTGGGCTCCCCAGTGCTGGGATTAAAGACATGAGCTACCTACCACACACAGCACACCAATTTGAATATATAAAATAAATACCAAGGAAAGTACCCAATTCTTTTAGATTTTCCAATTATGTGAAGTACACATTTTTACAAGTATGACCTAAGGATTCTTCAAATTTCCTAGGTGTCTGTTGCTACATTGTGTTTTAGTTAGTTTGGATAGGGTTTGTTTATTTTGTTGACTTTCTCAAAGAACCAGCTCTTTGTCTCATTGATTCTCTTTGTTTCAATTAATTGATTTCAACCCTAGGTTTGATTATTTTCTGCCCTCTACTCCTCTTAGGTATGCTTACTTCTTGTTTTAGAGCTTTCAGGTGTGCTGTTAAGTTGCTAGTATGAGATCTCTCAATTTTTTTTTACATAAGCACTTAGTGCTATAATCTTCATCACCTCCCCACCTTGGAGCTTGGGGAACCCCACAGAAGAGAAGAAAGGATAGTAGAAGCCAGAGGGTTGAAAAATCCAGCACCACATGGCCCACAGAATCAACTAACCAGGACTCATAGGGCTCACAGAGACTGAAGCAGCAATCACTGAGCCTCCATGGGTCTGCAGTAGGTCCTCTGCATGTTATGGTTGTTAGCTTGGTGTTTTTTGTGGGACCCCTAACAGTAGGAAAGGGGTGTCTCTGACTCTTTCACCTACTCTTGGGACCCTTTTCCTCCTACTGGGTTGCCTTGCCCAGCTTTGCTGTCAGAGTTTGTGCCTAGTCTTACTGTTATCTTGTTTTGCTTTTGTTTTTTATTTATTTTACATTCTGATTTCAGTTTTCCCTCCCTCCACTCCTCCCAGTGCTTCCCCTGTAATCTCCCCCAGCCCCACCTCATCCTCTCCTCCATTTCTATTCAGAAAAGCAGAGGCCTTCCATGGACATCAACAAAACATGGCATATGAAATTGCAGTATAGTTAAGTAGTTCCTTGTATTAAGGGTAGGCAAGGCAACCCAATATGAGGCATAGGGTCTTAAAGGCCAACAAAAGAGTCAAAGATAGCCCCTGTTTCCACTGTTAGGAGTCCCACAATTAGAACAAGCTACACAACTGTTGCATGTATACAGAGGGCCTACATCAATATCATGCAGGCTTCCTAGTTGTCGGTTCTTTCTCTATGAGCTCCTGTTAGCTAAGGTTAGTTGATTCTGTGGGTTTTCTTGTGATGTCCTTGACCCCTCTGGCTCCTACAATCCTTCCTCCCACTTTTCAGCAGGATTTCCTGAGCTCAGCCTAACATTTGGCTGTGAGTCTTTGCATCTGTTTCCATCAGTTACTGGATGAAGCCTGTCTGATGACAACTGGATTAAGCACGAATCTGTGATACATTAACCTTTTTTTCTCTCCAGTCACATCTGGTTCTATCCTAGGTCTCTGGGAAGGAGATCTGGGTGCAACATCTATCACCAATTGATCATTAGAGTTGATTTGGTTGATCTAGCTGGCTAGGAGTGTGTTCCCTTCTTCCCTCACAGCTCCATGTGCATCTCTCTGGAAGTTGCATGCTTAATGGAAGAGGACTACCTTCCCAGAACAGAGGAGGGCTAGTCCAAACAAGCTCTCAAGGTCCATTTATTGTGTCTTGTTATGCCATGTTTGGCTGATATCCCTGGGAGGCCTGCTCATTTCTGAAGGAATGGCTCAAGGGTAGAAGGGAGAGAGACTAGGAGGGGTGGAGGGCGGAATGTACTGAAAACAAAACAAGCAAATAAAATAAAATTTAAATAAATACCAATGCAAAATTCTAACACCAGGCTGAAAATCCCAGGGACTATCAGTGAAACCTACTATGAAGCTAGGTTTACATGGTTCTGTATGACAAAGCTGACCCCAGAAGAATTTCCAACCATAAGAACTGAGACAGACTAAAAGGACAGGGAACCTCTTCAACTATATTGTTTTCAGACCAAAAATTACTTCTCAAGAAATCTCAGGGACTACTACATTTAAGGATGTGTCCTACAAGGTTATGTGATCATGACTAATGTTTCAATAACAAAAAAATAGTTAAATACTGCATTTGAAAAATAAGCATAGGTTATAAGGAATGTATAGTACAGACAGCACAACTAAGACATTGTATAAGCAAATCATTCAGATTCTATAATGGCTTTGACATAATTTCCAGTAGGATTTTCCTGGCAGAAGACCAAAAAGACACTGTGTGAAAGAATGAATGGCTGTGGGATTTGGAAAGTCTAAATGAAAAATTTGTATTTTCTTTTAAAAATTTACTTTCAGTTATGTGTATGTGTGTATGTCTGTCTGTGTGGGTTTGTGCATGTGCACGCAGGTGCCCACAAAGACCAGAGGAGCTGTCATGTCTCCTGGAACTGTAGTTACAGGCAACTGTGAGCCACCCAGTGTAGGTGTTGGAAAACAAATTCAGGTCCTAGCTCTGCAAGCGCACAACCAGCTCTTTACTTCTAAGCCATCCATCTCTCCAGCCCCAAGTTCTGAACTTTCAATATAGCTTTAAGACCTTGGGTATGTCTCTCAACCATTTACAAAACAGAGACTGAGGGCTGGAAGGGCAGCTTAGCCACAGGGTACATACTTGGTAAATAGGGGGCTCTGGATTAATCTCTACCACCACCACCACCACCACCACCACCACCACCCCCCACTGAAAGAACCAGGGCTAATATCCATAGAGTGGTTGGATTATTCTCCCTTTGTAAGGGCTGAGGAGACAGCAGTCACAGGGAAGACAGGATCTCCTTTTCAGCCTTGGTAGAGGTAAGAGCTAGTGGCTGGCCGCTTTACTCTTCTGATCTTCAGCTTTAACCCCAGTATCTGTCTCTGGGATTTTATTACTCGTGCTACTGAACCCTCAGAAATGGAAAGGATTCAGAGCATCCTGAGGATCACACTCGGAACTCTCTTCCACAAGGAACCATTCACAAGGTCTTTTGAAAAGTTCACACTGCTTTTTTGTGGGTATGCTGAATGTCTGTGGAAAGGACACTGCTGTCAGTTCTCTGCCAAAGACCTACGTCAGAAAACCAGAACCCATCTGTGTGCATGTGTTTTCTAAAAACAAAGGAGTCATACTCTCAGGAGAGTTGGCCAATCCATCAATAGCAGTGCCGCCTTGGAAAAGACAATCCCACTCTGCCTTCCACGTACCGATGATCTCAGCTCTAAATTCTCAGTACACAAAGACTCCCACATAAGTTAATGGGAAGTCAATGGGAAATTGACTTTTCCTACTCTGGGCTGGTAGCAATGCAATGCTCTGTTAATCATGCCATCCTTCTTGTTCCCCTTCCTCCTACCCTAAATTAAAACTATTGGCGGAAACCCACACAGACAGTTTACAGTTTTCATTACGATGAAACAATATGCTGGTTGAAGTTGAAGGCTATCAAAACCATCCATCCTAACTGTTGTCTACAATTAAAGTATCAGAGAAAAGCAAATGTCTGGTCTTGTCCATCATGTCTACTGTAGTATCACTTTGCATCTGTAGAGTGTTTTCACATCTATTATCCTATTTGATCATTATAATTGCCCCGTGCTGTAGAAAGGACGTATGTTATTACCCACCAGTGACAAATGAGGCAACTCTGGTACTGAAAGGTTACATGATCCGCCTCAGGCCAGGAACCCAAAGCAGAGTTGTGGTTTCCCCTCCACCAGACCACAAGAAGAGGTTTTCCAAACAGATTACAAACTCAGGTAAAATAAGACTAGGGAGGAAAGCTCAAACCAGGGCCCAGGGAAGCTATAAATCTCTTGTTGTTTATGAATTTTTCTCAATTAGTACTGAAGCTTTAGATGTGTACCCTATTTTAGTCTCAGACAAACATTAATGCAAATTTCCAGCAAAAGTCGAGATACCAAAGAGAAGTCCACCTAGTATATATTCAGATGTGTTTAGATCAGTGAGCAGCCCTGCTGTTCATTTCAGGATACAAGCAGGAGGATGGGCAATGCATAAAATAACCAGGAGTACATCTTTAAATCCTGCGTCCATAAAAGCCTGCAGCTATATTATAGCTGAAGTCTGGAAGGGTGAAAGAGATCTCCAGTCAAAAGTAGATTTTGAAAAATTTTTTAGAGCCCAGGGGTTCATTTTTAATGAGCCGTTACTTTAAGTACTGCATAAAAAATACAGGAAATTGATAGTCCATTTAGTCTGCACCATACCTAATGCAAAAGTCATTAAGATGCATTATTCTTAATGTTCATGATATGATCAGTAAGTGTCTTTTGAAAATAATGCCCTTAACTTTCACATATGGAAATCTTAAAAACCTTATCTATTATACAGAAAAAAATGCTATGCCAACTGTGATTTACTTACATATCTTCACTGTGCCCAAGAAACACCATCCTCAATTACTTTAAAAATAGTCCTTGTTTGCTAGGCTGATGAGATGGCTCAGTGGGTAATAGCACTTGACAACAGGCCTGACAACCTGAGTTGGATCTCCAGAACTCACATGGTAGAAGGAGGAAACTAACTCCTGCAAGCTGTCCTCTGACACACACACACACACACACACACAGACACACACACACGCATACAAACGTGCAGACACGCACACACATACACATGCAGACACATACATGCACGCATACAAGCTCATACACAGACTGTTTTAAAAAAACTAAAGCAGCCCTCATGTGTAACACACTTACGTATGACAGCATAGCCTCCATTTCTTCATCACTTCTCACTGTAATCCTGTCACCATCTTCATCTTCGTCTGTTTAAAAAGGAATATGATGAAAGCAGTCAGACTTGCGCTCTTTTTTGGAAGATTTATGTTATTATTTCATTGTGTATATGTGAGGGGATATGTACACATGGATGCAGTGCTCACAGAGGCCAGAAAAGGATTTAGATCCTCTGCTCAAGAAAGAACTAAAAAGAAAAAAGTTTAAAAGGTGAAAAATCAAGATATTTCTCTAGATATTCTAGACTCATATCTAGATCAGGTATATCTAACTGGAGTATGACAAGACTGGCCTTTGAAGGAAGAGAGGATTCTCATTCTACCATCAGTACTTTCTTATGTCTCATGTGGCACTGCGTTCCCATTCTCTGTTTTTCCTCTCTCCCAGAAAACCCATCACATGCAGGGTGAAAATGTCTCCCATTTGCTAAACAAAGCCTTACAAAAGGGACTCTGACTTGTGCATCATACACAATACCGCCTGAAGAACCATACTACAATCCTGCAATGTGGACAGCAGGATCATTTCTACCTTATAGAAGACAAGCCTGGGTCCTCGCACAAGGGTAGAATCTAAGTGACTCCCAACAGTGACCTTCCATATTCCAGCTTCCAAGAGTTTTGTTTGTCCCAGTCCTCTGACCAGCAAGACTCAAATGGTGATCCATGCTATTTTGAAATAATGTAATAGTTTTAAAACTCAGGGATATTAAGTCTTAAAAAAAAAAAACAAAAAACAAAAACAAAAAACCTATTACCAGAATGTGCACATCTGAATAAATAGTAAAGAGGCCACATCTAGAATCAATGTGCTCAATTCAGTAATTCTCTTGGTTTTAAAAACTACTTTTAAGAACCTAAAGACAGACCTCTTGAGAAGATCAGATCTCAATTTTAACCTAAAATAGAATGGTTGGCCTAATCACCACCCACATTTTTTTCTCGGAATGACTTCTGGCTATCAAGAGTAGGAACACATGGGTGACCAACATGGCTCAGTGGATAAAGCATTTGCTGTCAAGACTGAAAACCTTTATTCAGTCCCTAGAACCCACACTGTTGAAGGAGAGAGATTCAGTCCCCAGAAGTTGTCCCTCTGGCCTCTGCACATATGCTCCAGCATATGTATGATCACAGGTACACAAGTGCACCCACTGAATGAATGAATGAATGAATGAATTGTAATAACAAAATTTTAACAAGCTCAGAAGCATTTGAAAGCTGATGTGGAAGCTCTAAATACAAAGTTCAAAGAAAAAATGCCCAAACATTTGAGCAATATAGAAAGCCTGCCCAGGTAACAATCTAGAAGGCACAGGCACTCGTCAGGATGCTCAGACTCTGGGTACTTGCTAAACAGTCAGCATTATATATCTGTTCACTCATGGGCATACAATTGCTGATTTGATTAGATGGGCCCTTTCCAAATCTGGCACACTAGACACCTCATCCTAAGAGAGTAAGTTTGCACAGCTCTGAAAGAACACAGGGATTTAGTTCAATACACAAGTCTCCCATCACACACCAACAGACATACCCACCCTCCTGTTCAGAGGAAGACATTCTGAAGCCATCCTCCTGTTTGGTGACAAGGCCATGGGGGACCATGGGAAGGAGTCTGTGCTTTTCCCAACTAGCCAATTACTAAGCAAACTACTAGCAGTTCCTTTTTGTTCTCAGTAGCCAGCAGCAAACTGACAGCACCAGGGAAAGCAGCATTTCCCTCAGGTACCCTTGGTGACCTGAGCCAACAGTTCTCAAAGGATCTATTTTCCAAAGTCTCATGCTGCAGAGTGACCCAAGCCTATTGAGACAGTGTCTCTAAGTCACTGTCTCAACTGCTGGGAGTTGTCAAGAACCCCTACTGAAAACTCTACAACCAAGAGTAAGGACCTCCACACTGGTATGATAAAAGGTACGTTCCTGCATGCATCCCTGCATGTCTGAGAGATTTCTACACATAAAGAGCTGCTTTTTCTGTCTGTGTTTGGTTTTCAATATAGAATTTCTAAGGACACACTGTAGAGAAACACCATCCTGGCAGAAACAAAAGAAAGGTGTTTCTCTACAGGTCTTAGAAACTAACATACTCAAGGTTAAGTTGGAAGTTTCTGATGAAATTCAAGAGATAAGGAAAAAAGAAAAAAGGGCAGTATAAAAGCATATAAGGCACTTCACACTTTTGCTTTAAAGCCGGGTCAAAGAGGGTTGGGAAGATAGTTCAGTTGGTAAAGTGCTTGCCAAGCAAATGCAATCCCTGTGCTAAGGAGGTGGAAACAGGAAAGTCCCTGCACCTTGCTGGCCAGCCAGTCTAGCCAGGCTCCAGATTTAGTAAGAGAATCTGTCTTAAAGACTAAAAAAGACATCTGAAGTCAACCTGTGACCTCCACAGACATGTTCACATACAAGTACACACATATGCATGAGCACACATGTGATCAATCAGTCAGTATGGGCCAAATTCTGTCCAACATAAAGGAGCTTTTGGCTAATCTCATTTCTGCATCAGAGTTAACTATACAGATGATGGTTACAAAGGGACAGCTCATATTCAAATCAACACACACACACACACACACACACACACACACACACACACGACCTCAGGAAGGTATTCCTTGAACAGAACAGGAAAGCAGTCCGAGTTCAGTGCAACAGGTGAAGAGTCTTTTATGACTTCTGATAAAAGGCCATAAATTCCTAAGTATCATTCATGTAATCATCCTCCAAATTAAGATAAGGAAGTATTGAGAGTATTGAGGGAGAGAGAGTGGTGGTGGTTGGGATGGAATGGGGTAGGGAATTTCTAAATTTCAGACCCAGACTTAAGTGCCTAAGACTACTTAAAACAAGTGTTCTGGAATCCTGGTTTGTATATAAGCTTGAGGATTTTTGCCAGGAAGTCAGCTAGCAGAGCAATTCTTCACAGTGCAGCACTCCATGCATAACAGACAGGCCCCGCCACCAAGGTACTTAAGCATTCAGAAGGTGTGGAAGAGAAGTGCTGATACTAGCCCACAGCATGAGCTCTGACTCCAAGAGGGACATCTCAGACAGTTGAAAGGAGCATTCCATTAAAGCCTGGTGATAAAATCAGGCTTATGTGACATGGTGACTAATAGCTCTTATGGCCTAACAGTATGGATGTCTTGGGGACTGCTTTGCCCTCTAATTTCCGTGCTTAGCTGCTACAATGAAGACTCCCTGCTCTTATCAAAAGGGAAGTTGGGTTGGAAAAATAACCACACTCATGAGAATGCCCATGTGGTGCTGGCCAAAAAGTGAAATGGAACCTGTCCCTGACAAGCTCAGGAATGAACCACTCACCCCAGCCTTTAGAGAAAGGATGCATCTCATTCCAAAGCAGTTAAATGACAGGCCCAGGAAGCAGGTGAAAGAGGAAAGCAGACCTGCTGCCAAGCAGCTTGGCAAACAGTGACCTGAAACACCTTAACCCCCAAACAGCTCCAGCAAACACCTGGCTATTTGCCTTTCAAACTGCACCAGCTATTTAAAAACTACACTCACTGGAATTATAAATCCTAAGAACTTATTAAAAGGGAACCAAGAGTTGGAAAGGTACAAACTGCAGGTATAGAGCTCCCAAAGGAAGCTGTGCTGAGTAGATAGTAGGAAAATACAACCTGAGCTCTTTTCTGTCTTATATATGAAGGTTCTTTGCCATCTGACCAAAATAACATTACTGGATATAACCGGGAAGGGGGGGGGGAGCTCAGAGATCTGACACACTGGTTCACAATGACAATCCCAGACTCCTCTAGTTGCCTGGAGCATAGTAATATGATTTTCCAGCACATTAGGGAAGCAAAAGGAGAACCGGAAAGTCTATGAACTGGCTGGATTTTGTTAATGTCACTTAAAATGGAGGCAAAAATCCTAGCAAGATACCAAATAGAGTACGGCAGATGGCAAACAAATATTATGAAGCAATCTTTACAAAATCTGCAGTGTGTCACAAATATACAAAATGGCAGAGTTTGGGGAAAGAGAATCATAACAGGCCATATGTTGTTCGCGATTTTTATCTGAAACAACATGCAATCTGAAAGACAAACCTAGAGGAGGCATATAAAGGCCCCAGAGGAGAGCAGTACCTCAGGTAGAGGTGGTCAGAATGGCCTAGTGGGTAAACAGCAGAAACTGAGGTACCTACAGCACCCACTGTGGTGACAGGAGCTGGGGGGGGGGGGCTTTCCACAGAGTGACAGAAAGGGAAGGCAATATAGTATGTGTCATTTGTTACACTCCTTCTGTACCAAGGAATCCAAAAGAACTATAGTAATGGCAGGAAAGAAATGGAAACATGGTTGTAAATGTTAAAAAGACTTCAGTAGGAAATTATCAGAAAAGATGTCAAGTTCAGAGCAGTTCTTAGGGATGGGGTCCACTGATCTAGGCAGGATAACAGACTATGGTTTCTGTGGTCACACCTTCATATCCATGAGATATCACTTAGCGCCTTGCCTCCCCTCAATGTCCCAATGCTTTCCTGTTTCTTTGTTACCTTCTCCTTGTTGAAAAAAAAAAAAAATAGTGCCTACTATGTGCCAGGTATGATACCCAGGCACAGAGATGGTGAAGTAAAGACAATGTGGGTCATGTACACACAGGTGATAACTGGGAAAGAACACTGTGGGCAGAAAGAGCAACTAACACAGAGGAAGAACTCCCAGCATGTTCCAGAGAAAAAAAGGTGATGATGGCCTAACAAGCTATAGGTGTTCTGAGTTTTGTGCCACCCTCTCCCCACCCCAAGAGCTAAAGTTTCCTTGTGAAGCCTGGGCTGGCACAACTCATGCTTAAGCAATCCTCTTGCTGTTGAATTGCTGGGACATAGTGTGTACCACCACACCTAGCCAAGTTGAAGTTTTGAGAACAGACCTCACGCTGGATCTATTGAAGACAGATTCAACCGGTTTGCAGATAAATGAGATAAACAAACTTGTTCTAGGTATTTCACTTCTTCTAGCACCCATGCATTCCAGAAAACCATCTCAAGCCTACCATGT